ACACACACACACACACACACACACACACACACACACACACACACACCTTCTCTGTCTCTCTCCTCCTCACTCTGCCGTGTCCATTGTCACACACTCACCTGTAGGCGTTTTGGTCAAACACTTCAGCATCAGGGAATCCTAACATGCCACAGACGACACGGCTGCTGCTCAGGTCCCAGCCCCGGTTACACACATGACGCCACCTCCCAGCATGCTTCACTTCCAGCACTCCTTCCGTCACGAGGCCGCCATGGTTGCTGGACAGCACAGGCCGTAGACGAGCCTCCTCTAAGCGAACCCTGTCAGATCCCTGCAATGTTTTAAGGTGATTAATATTTGAGTGCTTCATCCTGAATGATCTGCAGGATAGAAATGGATCTTTGTCACGCACACTGAAAACACGACTTCATCTTGGCTCAAACCACACCTTGTTTAACTAAATATCTGCCAGCAGCACGCAATCTGGAGAAGAATAACACGATAAGATGACATGCTATGTCTCAAATCATCCCGCTCTCTAATCATCCACATTACATTATGGGCAGCAGGAAGGGAAGTAACAGAAAACAGAGAGATTGTTTGTATGGATACATGTCATGATGATTACAAAATGGTAAAGAAAGTGTAAACTCTGCAAGTTGAAAAGACAGAAAGCCAAACACAAGCGATAACTGTCTTGCAATTTCCTCTGGTTTTGAATTTCTTGCACGTTTGAAGAAAGGGGCTGTTGAGCTTCTGGCGGTTGGGTCCTTACTTAAGGCTGCAAAAGAGCTGGATCTGGAGAAGGTCTGGTTTTAGGTTTGTCTCTAATTATACATGTCCTCTGGCCTGTGGCTCCACAAATTACATTTATGTATGGGAGTCTGAATAGATCTAGACTGGGCTGCTTCTTTGCAGTGTACTAGAAGGTGTCAGTGTGTTTTTACCTGTGTGTAGTGCACATCAGTTTCCAGTCCAACCTCTGGATGAACAGGCCCTGGTTCGACATGGTTCCCGCTGAGCTGCTGATGCCTCCCCTGTCCCTCTCCCTCTCGTCTCATGCCTTGTGGACCGTTCCTCGCTGCGTCCTGGCCCTGCCTGTAGGCAGCACCGTTGACCAGACGCGATGGTAGCTGGTGCCCTTGTGGCAGAGCTGGGCTCATCTGCGAGCTTAGTCTGGAACCACCTCGATTCCTTTGCGAGATCCGGATCTCGTGGCCGTTCTGTTGCGGCGAGATGATGCTGCGACGGGGAGATGTTGGGTTGCGATGGAGGGCGATCTCATGGCCTCTTGCAGAAGATGAGGGGGTTTCGGCTGGGAGAGGCACAGACTGTGGCTGCTGTGGTGGTGGGTTTCTCTGTCTTTGCTGGCTTGGCTGGCGCCTGGAGGATGAAGGAGTCTCCTGCACGGAGACAGCGGGTGAACCTGGTGTCCTCTCTGGGCTGCAAATGACCCCCAGGTCCTCAGCGTGAGTGCAGTCATTGATTCCCCAACCATTGGAGCGACAGTCTGCGATTGAGGGCTCTGTGCCCATGCAGCGCACATTGTCCAACCAGATCAAACCTAACATCAAGAAAGGGCAGTAAGTTATTGAATCAAAAGAAATAACAACTTAAGTCAGTGAAAGGTGTTCAAAGCTCAATGCCATTGGCTGGACATACCTTCCCCCTCACCAAACTTGGCACTGTGCGCCCAGGTCAAGCCGCGTTTGAAGCCCATCTGTCGGCACACCACATTGGCCAAGTTAAGATCCACCTCGTCATCACACACTGTGCCCCATACGCCGTTGTAGAACACCTCCACACGTCCCTCGCTTGCATTGCGCCGGCCTACGCCTGCCAGACGTACAAGCATCTCCTGGGCAGACAGTGGCGGGGGGTAGAGGAGAAGCAGGAGGAGGAGTGTGGACAAGGTGCTGAGGCACAGCATCCTGGAAGGAAAACAAGTATAATGGCAGAGAAGAGAAGGGCTTATGAATGGAAATGGCAGCGGTGTGACATTAGGTAAAGAGAGGTAAACCAGTAGGCCTGCAGAAACCAGTGAGAGCTACAGTACATGTAAAGCAGGAGCTTCTAAAATATGCACATGTTACCACACAAATCGCACAAAGCCATGGAACTCACATTCCATACTCAAAACATGTCATTTAAAACTTCTCTTCTAACCCTAATGGGACATTCGGCAGTAAGATGAAAGAGATTGATAGATGTTTTTATCCTTTCAAATAATCAGAGTCATATAAAGGACAGAAACTTGAGAAGCATCGTGAAAATGTAGCCCTCACTCTGAACCAGTCAGGGCAAAGGGAGTAATAACCAAAGCTAAAAGTAGCCTCTCCGTCCAGCCAACGGAAACTTTGGCTTTCCGCAAACCCTCAAGTTTAGCTGCATGCATTTAGCCAACAGACACAAAAGCAAATGAACAGCGTCATAAAAATGTTCTCACACGTAAATAAAGCAGCAGGTCTGAGACGTTTTGGTTAATGAGCAATGATTAATTCATCCTTGGACCACCCCTAAAAACTTTTCTTCTGCGAGAGGGGAAGAAACTGGAGATAAGGAGAAAGAGGAGCGATCTGGTAGATGAGAGAGATACCTTATTGTAAATTCATCCACGCAGGGCTCAGTTAAATTCTGCTTTTCATACGCCTAAACATACATGCAACAGTACAGATAAATATGTGTAAAAAATATAAAAAATTAAGACTCATGGGGGCTGAATTAAGGCTGTTAAAAGAGAGATGAGAGGATGAATTCAGGCGGCTGCAGGAATGAAATCTTGAATAATGGAGAAAAAAATAGACTGAGGCAAAATGTGAAATAAAGGGAGAATGCTGAAGTTGAACTCACCTATCTGTTGATCTCAGCTTGGCGTCACAAGGAGAAAGAAGGGACAGAGCACTGGAGGAAAAGAAGGCAGTGAGTTTGGTCCTGCTGTCTCTCTATTCTCCTCTTCTCCCTCCCTCTTTCTTTTTCTGTCACTCCCTCAGATCTGCTACTTCGTCCATCCCTCCCAAATTTTTTTTCATTCATGCAACTTTTTTTTTCTCCCTTTCATCGGGTCACATTTGTCCTTTTCATTATCTTACGACGTACATCCAGTCACATGGTCAGGATGCACGTGAGCTCAACTTATGAAAGAGACACAATTTCATGAGGATTTTTCTCTCCTTATATCACACACACACACACACACACACACACACACACAGTCCAGTCAGTCAAAGTTGGTTTTAATTGTTTGTGTATCAAAGTCTTAATTAAAAAAACCCTTTGGGTAAGAAAAATCACTTTCCCCTGTGATGTGTGAAAGGCTCAAAGGGCGTGCATTTTTATCCCACACAATGGTAAAATCATATGCGTGCACACACACACACACACACACACACACACACACACACACACACACACACACACACACACGCACACACGTCCCATGCCCACAGTTGGTGGTGTCATGAAATAAATACTATGTGCTCCGCACATAAGAACGGAGCTGCCTGTCTGAACTCTTTCCCTTTGCATAAAGTTCAGTTTCATAACATTCTCAGTCGTGGCACCTCCTCACATGAAGGACGCTCTCTCTGAGGATAGAGACAGACAGTTGCTCAATATTTACACAGAAGAGCTAATATTGCTAAAAATGAGGTTACAGGGCTTTAACATCATGAGCTGAACCTGAAACTGAATGTAAATCCACAGTGAGTTCTGTAGTTTGTAAGAAATAGCAGAAATGTCTTTAGAAGTCACGCTCTCTTTCGATGATGTGGCTGTGTTTCAGTTTCCCTGTTGTTGGAACTCTTTATTGTTCTTTTTCTTCAATATTATGTAGTTTTGAGTGCAGCTCAGCAGAGACATTAAGATGTGTTTCAGGACGAGAACAGATAGCTGGTCTTTACTGTAAAACATATACAGTATATACACATCAATATCTGTACCACTAATGTTAAACCATCTGTTACATCTCAGAATATTACATTGAAATGTAAAATATGATTTTTCTGCTGCTTTTGTGGCGAAAGAGAGCTGACTGTGATGAGATGTGACAGAAGACGAGATATTTAGGCTCAACAGCTCACTCTAGTGGAGCAAATCATTGTTGAACATTAGTCTCATATGTGATGATAGCGTAGCTTGAAATCACTTTTTAATTCACAATTCTGTAACTCAACAAGTTATTTTGTCATACAGTGAACCAGGAGGTCACACACGTTTAGGGACATGTATTTTGTAAGGATACTACTATCTTTGATCTTTTGTTCTGTGGTCGAGCAAGTTCAACACTACAATATAAGAGAACGCAAGAAAACAGCAAATACACAAAGAAAGGTATAAAACCTCTTCACAACATTAATAGACAGGTTACAGAAGTGTGCTGCATAATACTGAAACACTAGCAGACGAAGAAATCAATTCACTAATTTGACAGGCGGCAATGTTTTTGTTTGTTGTGTATTTTCATTTCCTATTTGCGTATTATATTTTGAATCTATATATAATTTCATTGATTTTGTAAAATAATTAAATGTATATTATCTATTTACATTTTCAAATAAAAGGCTTCACTATAATATGCCATCTGTGTGAATTATTTATTGTTATTTTAGTTTATTAATTGTCTGATGAACCTTTATGTAGTCATTGAAATAAGAAGAGACGTCGACTAAACTTTCACTTTTCAGCCTTAAATAACCTTAATTTAAACTAAACATCGACAGACAAATAGACATATATATACTGTATTATAGATCTATAGAGCTACGTATATGCTCAGTGGCTCACAACACAACAAAAAGACAAAACAATCTAGAATATTAGAATCAAAAGCAAATTCCACACAAACAGTCGTCGTCTTCAGTATCCCGACAGTGTGGAAACCGCTGGGTATCGTTTACGACGAGTCATGCACTTTTCCCTCTCGATGAACAGTGAGTGGGTTTTACAGTTGATGTCCTTCTCGAGGGCAATGCGTGACTCCTCCAGGTGGGACAAGGAGCCTCTGGCCTCACTCAGCTGCTGGCGCAGAGATGCAAGAGAGGCATCAATCTGCCTCAACTCCCCTTCCAAACTGCAGACACAGGAAGCAAACAAAATGAAGAGAGAGAGAGAGAGAGAGAGAGAGAGAGAGAGAGAGAGAGAGAGA